AGTTTCTTAGATTTAGCAGGGTCAGTCAGGACGGTACTGAGATAAAATGCAAAGCAAGATACTGCTTTGGGGAATCGAAAGGACACAGCCTCCTTCATCGCCACCTTACTGGACCTCTCAGGTTGATAAAGAATTGTCGAAGGGAATTCTTTAAGCCTGGTTGGGAAGCCAGCTGTTTTGGGTTGATGGGATGCTTTTCCATGTTAACGTTCTCTAGAATAATGTTTGTTTGTTTTTAAATGAAGAAAGAAGAAGAACAAGAAGAGGAGGAGGAGGAGGAGGAGGAACAGGAAGAAGAGGAAGAAGAAACCACCTCTGTTGCACGTGAAGGTACTGTGCACATCACACAGGATGGCCTGCCCCATATCTGTATAGGGCAGCCTTGCAGGAACACAGTCCCACCAGGGGTGGGCCCACTTGGTTCTCTTCCACTGAGAGCAGGGGGAGCGTTTGGTGCACGTGCACAGAAACTAACAGGGTGTCCACAGGGTATGGTCAAAAAAGTCAAGATGGCAGCTTTGCTAGTGCAATTGATGCACATAAAAAGCAAGTTGAGGTTTGATCAGATCAATGCAGCTGCCATCTTGACTTTTTTGATCACAACCTGTGGACACCCCTGGAAACCAAGGTTGAACAATCATAAAAAGAAATGGTTATATTGTATAACCTCCAGATACTTCAGATTTGCTCACAAATCAATTCTGTTCCTGGGCAATTTTTTCATCCCCTTCACATTTCCCCCCAGTTATGTGGCCTCTGAGGACTACAGGAGGTGTCATAACCCAGTGACAGCCCAGAAATCATATTGGCCAAATTTTTTAGCCTCTGCCTTTTTCTTTTCCATTTGCACTGGGGAGTTAGAGGGGTGTTAAAGATGTGTGTAAAGAGTGACACATTAGTTTTAACAGCAAATATTGTTCTGCTGAAAAAAGCTGCTTTGGTGCTGGATTTAGGCTTCTCAATTTTGGGAAGGGCCACAAATAAGAGTTACCTGTAGGAGTCAAACTGCACCACCCTTTAGGGAAAGTCCACATCTCCATCCATCAGACCGAAGCCGTTCCCATCGGCTTGGTCTCCTTTGCGTCCTCTGGCCCAAGTCCGAATGGAGGCACTTTGGCCTCTTGCCCAGGGAAGGGCCTCCTTCGGAGCTGAGCGTTGCCCCCCTTCTCACTTGGCGCTTGTGTCTTTCTTGTTGCAGTTCCCAGCCCTGCGGCCTCGGCTTGAAGCATCCCGCTCCCTAGCGCTGCCATGTCCAGGCAAACCCGCGATGTTGAGTTGGTTCGCCTGGTGCCCAAGAAGCCGCGCCACCATCTGCACGCCTCCCCTTCCTGCTCAGCCAGTGTGGAGCAGTTGCCCAATGTCCCCAGCTACCGCAGCCCTGCTCCTCCCTCCCGCATCCCCATCCTCGTCCCTAGGAAGCAGAAGGCTGGCATGAGCAACCCCAGTTTTTTGAAGGAAGAAGCTTCCTGCTTGGGCATCGGGGGTAACGTAGCATTTCCCACGGCTTTGGTGCCTGCAGCTTTCCTGGCCGGCCTTCCTTCACTTGGCCCATGTCTGCGTCTCTTGAGTTTAGTTCCAAAGAAGGAGTTATTTCCAGAGGGGGGCAACAGAAGTCATTTCCAAAATGTAGGAGAGATGCACACACTTTTTTGGGCAGGCATTCACTAAAAGTGATATGGAAATGGGAAGGGATTCATCTGCCCCTCATCTGAAAATTGTAGGATGGGAAATGGGCCTTGTGAGCTAAGAAGGTTTGCAGTCCTGTGACAGACCGAAGTTACAGAAAGGCATCCCTGCCGAGACAGCCCTGCCAGAAAGCCATTTTGCAGCAATCTCAAACATAAATAAATAAATAAATCTAACCTAAATATTGCATTAATTTCAGAAAGGGACTCCAGCCCTAGATTAAATCTAAGTAAAGATTCACATGTTATTTGCATTTAATTGTCAGTTTAGCACTACAGTATCTGGAAATAACATGTTTTCAAGCTGACAAGGGGGTATGCAAGGCACGGTCAAAAACGCCCGGATGGCAGCCAGGACAAGGCAGCTGAAGCTCTGCCTGACACTTTTGTGCAACGTGGTTTTTTGACCACACTCTGCAGATGTCCCTGCAGGCTAAATGTGGAAAGATACCAGCCTTGGATATGGCCTTGTGGAGACAGGAGGCTTCACAGCTGTTCGGGGATCTCGGCAGAAATCCCCAAAGGAAAAGTGTTGCTCTGCACTTGTGTTTCCTGTGAATGGCTGCCCTGAGCCAGGAGTGGCTCAAAGAGGCTCCCTCAGCACTTTGGCCTCCCTCCTTCCCCTTCGGATCTCTGTCCCAGTTCCCAATCAGCCTGCGCAAAGCTAGTCCTCTTGGAGGTCTCTTTGGCACTGGTCAGAGAAGAGGCGGCTCCCCTGGGCTCCAGGGGGTCTCCCAGGGACTGTGGGTGAGGGCTTAGGAAGGCCTGAAAGGCTCTGAAGGGATTCCTGCTGCAAAAGTGGAAGAAGCAGCCTTTATTTTCAGTGGATGCCCCCAATTTCAGACATCTTGGATTGCCACCATCTCCAGAAACTGGGGCCAAGGTGATGCTGAGAGTTGTAGCCCTACTCAGGGGACAGGGCTGGACTGGTGAAGGCTGAGGGCATCAAATAGTTTTTGGAGGTGATGGTAATACCCAACACAGAGAACAATAAGAATGTTTAAGTGAACCAATTAAATGTAATATCTGTTGTTATTAGTCAAAAGGTATACAGATTTAAGTTTGGAAATCAACATCAGTACAGGTAGTCCTCGACTTGTGACCACAATTGGGACCAAAATTTCTGTCGCTAAGCAATGCGGTCATAAAGTGAGACATCATGTGACCGTCCAATCCTGGCAGTCCTGGTTGCCGTTGTTAACCGAGAATCGTGGGTCATTAGCCAAGGAGCCACCCCAATCCAAGCCATTCTGGGCTTGGTCCCCCCCAGCCTTGAGCCTGAGTGAGGTAAGGGACTGCCTCCAACTCCCCCCACCCGCCTACCTCCCCCCATCTCTGCCCTTCTGGCTGCCCTGCACCCTGCCTTGCGGGGCGGCAAGCAGCCCCAGAACCGCATGGCTCGGGGGCTGCTTGCCACACCCCAGGAAGCTG